TCAAATTAATAGTACTAAAAAAAAGCACAAACTACGCAAATGTCTCGCACGTGCTACAAGACAAGACGAACATCTGTCCTTGTGCCTTGTGGCTTTCACGTACATCTGTCGTTTCGGTTGTTGACGTTCTCCTTTCCCCTCCAAGTTTTACTTTTGATTTTAGTTTCCCCCTTTCCCTTCTTTCCTTCTCCTGCTCTCTCTTAGTCTTCCCCTCCCTCGCCCTCCCCTCGTGACATTGAGGGAAGGGAGGGGGGGAGGGGAGGAGTTCCGGCTCTGTACTTGACACCGGACACTGTCACCAGCCCTTGTTATGCCAAGTATGCTAATTGGTGGAGGACGAGCAAGCTGCTGTTCTCCTGCTTCTGTTGACGGCCTGAGGAGGAGGGGAGTGGGAGGGGAGGGAAAGAGGAGGAGGAGGAGGAGGAGAAGGGATAGAGAAGGATGAGGAGGGGAGGAAAAGAGGAGCAGAAAGAGGAGGGGAGGGAAGGAGGAGCAGTAGGAGGATGGAAGGAGGAGAAGAAAAAGGAGCAGTGAGAGTGGATAGAGAAGATGGGGAAGGAGGAGGAGGAGAGAAAGAAGAGGAAGACAAGAAGACGGAAAACACAGAGAAAGTGAAGGAGGAGGAAAAGGAAGAAGTGAGGGGGAAGAAAAGGAAGAAGAAGGAAGAAGGAATTTGAAGAGGGGGACAATTGAAAGCCAATGAGGAAGAGGGAGAGGAGGGGAGTAGGGGGGGGGTGAAGGCGAATGAGGAGAGGGAGCGGTTAAGAGAGGAATCTGGCAGGGAGAGAGGGAAGGAGAAAGAGGGAGGGGAGGGAGGGAGAGAAAGAAACGGTTGGGGAAAGAAGAGGTGAATAAAAAGTTCTTTTTTATTATGAGATGAAGGAAAGTAATAGGGAATGGAAGATATGAGACAAAGACATGTCTAGCTTATTATTTTTATATTAATATGATTGACCGATGTGATTTTTTTTCTTTTATTTTCTATCTTTTCTTTAGATTTTTTTTTTTTTTTTTTTTTTTTTTTTTTTTTTTTTTTTTTTTTTTTTTTGAGAAATGTGAAAGTTATGTCCATAACATCATTCTTATTCTTTCTAAAATCATTCTCAATTTTATGTACTGCCAAACTCCTATAGAACGAAAATAAGAGGAAAAAGAATTTGATATTTTTTTCATATATATCATAAGCTTTACGATGCTCGCAGTGTTTCATTAAAACCATTCTTATTATGATCATTGTACCAAATTCCTTTTTACTGTAACATCGCCAAATTTCCATCATGGAGGGGGTTGGGGTTGTAGGCTCAACTCAAACCAAAACATACAATAGTCAATATTTTATTATCATCCATAAGTTCAACTGCTTTACAAGACGTGAAACAAAGATTCTCGCTTGACTAGATCTAGGGTTGGCGTCTCTCACCTGTGGCATTGTGCTTGCTAATGACCCGGTGACGCCAGGTGGGCCGAAGTCACTCCCAGTTTCGAATCTCTCCTGCTTTGCTCTATTCGAAACAGGAAGGACTTGCCAGAATATCTTGTTTACACCCAGAGAAGCTTGTGACGTTGCATACAAAAAAAAAAAGAAACGTAAAACCTTATCGCTAAGAAACAGATAATACAAAACCGCTTGTTTGATGGGTTTTTTTATTTGTTTGTTTTATTTGTTTTTTTTCAAGCGGGAAGGACGTAAAATAAGTGACGTAGTGATTAAAATTAAGTACACTGGACATTTCGGGGCGTTTCCACCTCAAATGCACTTCACAGTCGATTATGATTTAGGAATGGACCGTCTACTTGGATATACCGTGAATTTTTGACGTCGAATTAAGTTCCATTTTTTAGTTATAATAATCTAAATCACCATAAAATGTCAACTGAGAGAATGTCTGTGAAATACAGTACAATAGAAAATAAAATAATCTTTACGTCCAATATCATTATTTTGGCCACATAAGAGGTATCATGATTGTTCACACAGGTAAATAATTTACATTAATTACCTGTTTTATGGCAAGACTTCAACATGCATACATATGTTTTCTCTCTGTTATTTTTCTCTTTCTTTCTCTCTCTCTCTCTCTCTCCCTCTCTCCCTCTCTCTCTCTCTCTCTCTCTCTCTCTCTCTCTCTCTCTCTCTCTCTCTCTCTCTCTCTCTCTCTCTCTTCTCTTTCTCTCTCTCTCTCACACACACACACACACACACACATACACAAACACACACACACAATCTCTCACTTTCACTCACGCTCTCGCTCTTTATTCCTCTCTCTCTTTCTCTTTTTCCCTTTCTTAAAGTAGCGAGCATCTCTCACCGAAGTAAAACGTTTCGACGGTTCCTTACAAGGCCTGTCTACTTATTATCTACCCATCGACCTTTCAATATCTACTTATCACGACCTACGCTACAAGTACATAAGTAAATCAAATACACACACGCTGTTTTCCATGTGTCTGTCTACCTTGGAAGAGAAAGAGACAATGTGGTTGCAATCCTTGGTCATCTACGTTCGTTGTATTTTGCAAAATCCACTTCGTTGAAATCATAAACTTTCGTCCAAAATGACAGGATGGGAATGGACCACTTGTCTCATCTCTAACCATATTTTTTTCTCTCTCTCTCTTTCTCTGACCAAACTCTCAAAATATACAAATAACAAGAACAAGTTTGTACAATAACAACCTCTCAATAATAGCTGTTCTGACACCCACTCTAAAGCAAAGGGGGAAAAATTATGCCATAATTAAAAGATACAAAAGCTAGCAATGATTTTGAAAAACTCTCCTTTATGATAGAGATGTTCATCTTACACTCGTCTATGCTGTCTTAACGAAAAAAAATATTTATCGAAATTAACAAAAACTTTACAACACAGGCTTCCACAGCTATATATGTTGAGGGCGGGCGCTCATACATGCGTAATAAAAAACAATAAATACATCTTAATGTGATACGATAAGATCAAATAGTCAAGCCAATTGGAATGAATAAGTACATAGCAAAATAAAAGTGTTTGGGACCGCGACCTCTGTTGCATGATGAGCTCTGGTGAACTGACTATCGGTGGCTGTTGCTCGGTGCAATTGCAAACCAGGAACCAAAGACGAAAAGAACTTCGTCAAGACCTTCTTTATTTGGAGAATTCCCTGAATCGTCTGTGGAAACAGCTGGACAGCTTGTACCAGAAGGAGGGTCGCTGCGGGATGTGTCTGGGGCCGTTGTCATGTATCCTCGACGTTTCGGTTCTTTGCCTGCAGAGAAAAGAAATGGGGGAATGTTAGTTGTAACTGATACGTTGTTTACTTTTGTTTGTGCTCTTTTATATGCTAAATCATTTGATAATCTAGATCCTAGCCTAAAAAAGGTTTGAAGGTTTGACTTTCCCGACGTCGTAAATCAAAGTCTTCGAAAGCGGAATCAATCTGTGTAGCGTAAGAGCTATTAGATTACGAGAATTCCCCGTTTGAAAATGGAGTAAGATCAGCCCTTTTCTCGCCGTGTTTATCGACTAAGACGTATACGAGTCGAGGTTTTGTGTATCGGCCGAGGTGGAGCACAATTATTTATGGGTTTTGACACTAAGTCAACACGCGGCGAAACCCAATCCTGCGGGCGGCACAAGCGGACGTCCCCCCCCAGCTCGATCTTCTGTCATGACAACGCGCCAACGCTTTTTATTCGGCGGCAAAGGATCTCGTCTTTGGGTTATTACAGCTCCATTTTTTTTTATCTTAATCGTTGTGCAAGGGAAGTTGGTACAATAAATCACATCAATCGACAAAAATTCGACCACTTCGCTTCCTCGCGGCCCACCAACAGAGATCGCGCCTCAACATGACGTAACTTTACCCTCGTTCTCTGCGAAGTTTACAACAGAACAAGACCCGAGACTCCTCCACTAGGCCTACAACATGACCTGCGACACTGCCCAAGGGATTAATATTTTCCCCCCTTCACCGCACCCACGCTCCAGTTGTATTTGACCTTGCTTACATTTTCCCTCCGCCTCGTCCATACTCACGGGCCTACTCTGTCTTGTTCTCTTTTGTCTTCGTTTTTTTGTTTGTTCGTTTGTTTGTCTTCAACTGAATGACGTCTACTTCATTTAATCGTTTTTACTCTGACCGACCGCAGAACTAAAATCGTGCAATTATGATATTTTTTATACAAGTATAACCTAGTTTTTTTAGAAGTAATCTAAATTATTGGAAATGTTATTTTGTTTTTTACTTCATTCTTTTCTCCCCTCACTTTCCTCTTCTCCCCTCGCCCCTCAGGTCAGAGTTCACCGGGATGGGGTTACCAGTAGAGGCCAAAATACGATACCTCATGTGTGTATCCTTCAGACCTGCCCCAACCCCATGTTGTCCTTCACTTGTTTATAAATATTTCCCGATGATTTACATTATCCCCTTTTTTCTAACTTTTACCTTATTTTTTATGTATGTTTGTGTCGCCGAAGAAGACAGAAAAGGAGAGAAAATATGTCAGTTTGGTTTTAGAAACGTAGAGAACGAGAGAGACAAGAAACTCACCTCATGTAGTCGAAGAGGTGAAATCCCAGCGAAGGGGAAGTGAGTTGTTTGTGTCACGGGCGACGTGGAAGGTGACGGCTCTCTTTATGGTGACTGCTGACGACGCTGCTGACGCTGGTGGGGCTGTGGGCGTAGGCGTGGGCGGAAGAGGGGCATGTGGGCATCAAAGGGATTGGGCACGAGCTCCGCAACATGTGTATTCGTGTATTCGTGCAGGCGGCCGTGTGGTGGACACTCAGGCGCAGGTTTACGAACCGCGCTTGGGGATACATGGCGATGCGGGAGGATATGGAGGAAGCAGTGAGGACGCAGCCAGGTATCAGTGGTGCGCTTGTGGTCCCGCTGTTTTGAACTCTGGTATCGATTCGTTCTGGAATGTTCTGTCTTCGGTGGGGATCGTGAATCTAAACCTATGATTGCTTATATACATCAGGAACACAGGCTGTAAAGATATGTTCTTCTCTACAGTGTTTTTTTTTTCTTTCTCTCTCTGTCTCTCATAAGATGTCTTAGACAGATATTTTGGATGTTACAAACAACACTTAAGTACATTTGCTGAGGCTATAACCTTAATTAATCTCAAGGTTTCGTACGATTTCTTTTAATGTCCATCTTGGCTCAGCATTTCATCATTAGCCTCTTGATGTTCTATAATAGTTCTTATCGCATTAAAATCTTTCACACTGAGGGAATATATCTCTTGCCGCCCTCTTCTTCCTTCAGAGGACGTGGCGGGCGTGCCTACTTCTTCAGTTCCTGCGCCCACACCTCTTGGGGCCAGCCTGTACGCCCACGCTTGGTCTCTGGGCTGGAGGAGAGGGAAGCGGGCGCGACGGAGGTGGCAACCTGTGGGAGAGAAGAAAGCGTATTTAGAAAAAAATGTAATTAAGAAACCATATTTAGATTTAAAAAAAAATAGTAATATGAAAAAAATAATAAAAAGTAATTAAAAAACGTATTTAGAAAAAAAGACTAGAAAGTAAGTATTTACAAAATAATTAAAAAGCCGTATTAAAAAATAGCTATTACTTAATGCGTATTTCTGACAATTTTCGTATACAATAGCTGTTAATGGACTCGTGTAGAATAGCCATAATCGGACTTGAAAAAATATGTGTTTAGAAATTTATAAAAAAAGGTAATTGGACAGGAAAGAAACGATGTGTAAGAACGGAGGTCGAAAGCACAGAGATAAGGCTGAAATATGTGGTATGAGCGTCCTGTAGTGTCCTGTGTCGAGCGAGTGGCGACCGCGACAAGACCCGGAACTTACGCAACGGAGCCTCGTGGAAAACGAAGGTGACGTCACTTGTACAATTACCAATGGCCTGTTTGTCGCAGCAGTACATGGCTAATGTGCGGGTCAGTAAATGCAACAATAAAGTGATTGGGAAGAAAAAACTTTTTTTTTCATTTTTTTACGCCTTTAGAGAGGAAATAGTTGAAGAATTGCGAAATTCGCACCGCGCTACGGAGGCCGCCACGCACGCACTCGGCATCCGTCACTGTCATTTCCACGGGGACATTTACTGGTAATCCTATGATGAAACAGGAAAAATCCACAAACGAAGAACAAAGGCAGGAGAGAGATGCCCACGCGTGACGTACGACAACAAGATATGACGTCACAACCTGTCTGGCAGGTATGTAAACAGCAGCTTCCCTTAGGCGCTGCACCTTCTGGAAATATGAGATTGCAATTCCGACTCTCCAATTTCCCTTTCATTCTATCTTTTTTTTCTGCGGGAGGGACTAGAAGGGGAGAGGAGGATTGGACACACACGTAGAGAAAATAACGAAGCGGAATTCCTTTTAGCAATAACACACTGCATTACGAAGAGAGAGGGAGGGAAGACACACACACAAAAAAAGCAATCCATTTGTGGAATTAAGATAAAGAGAGGGAGAGGAGAAATCGTGACGTCGGGCAGAGAAACCTCGTAACCAGCTCGCCTTGATTGGAATGCCGAGAGTGAGGTCGGGGTTTCCGGCCGAGGAAGCTGCACGCGCCCCGGCCAGTCGTCTCTCCTCTCTCTCCCTTCATTCGCAAATCCCCAGAGGCAATTGTGGGTCGTCTCGTTCCTGCATAATGTCGGTCAGGGACATGTTTGCACTGGGCAGATACGGAGAGGGAAGGGTCAAGGATGGAAACGAACACGAACTGCGTTTTTTCGCGTCAACGTATATGGAAATGACTTAATGCAAATGAAAGGATGTTGATAACTTGTTATAAAATGAATAACTATAGCACTGACAAAAAAAAATAACACGTTATCGCATCCTCACGAAAAGAACACACATATACACAAAAAACAAGACACAAAACAACAGAAAACGTAAACCAACCAGCGCCCGGCAAGACCAGAAGTAACAGGGCAACTCGCCGGAGCACAAGGAAGAACAACCCAGGCAAAGAGAACAAGCCGGCCATGAGGTGAAGACAAGAGAGAGAGAGAGAACAAATAAGACCAGGCTGAACGTCCGAGAGGTGGCGCACAGTAGCGGATTCTCGTGATCCCACCGCAGCAGACACCCTAATTACGAGGACCGGAGGAAGGGTGCTGGGGAAGGGCGCGGGGGAGGTGGAGGGAGGAAAGAGCGGGGAAGGGGGGGAGGGAGAGGGTAGAGGAGGGTGAAAGGAAGGGTGGAGGGAGGAGAGAGCGGGGAAGGAGGTTAGGGTGAGGGTAGAGGAGGGAGAAAGGAAGGGTGGAGGGAGGAGAGAGCGGGGAAGGGGGTAAGGGAGAGGGTAATGGAGGGTGAAAGAAAAGGATGCTGGAGATGGGAGGGTGGAGGGAGGAGGACGGGGAAAGGGATTGGCAAGGGTACAGGAGAAGGGAGGAAGGGAAGAGGATGAAAGTGAAGAATGAAAGAAAAGGATGCTGGGGAAGGAAGGAGGGATGGTAAAAGTGAGGGTAGTGGAGGATGAGAGAAAGGGGTGATGGAGAAGGTGAAAACTTTGGAAGAGAATGAGAGAAATAGAAGATAAAGGAGGAGGTAAGTGGAAAAAAAGTGAGAAAGGAGGAAGAGGGTTTTTATGAGGATGAAATATAGGAAGGAAGGGAGAATGGACACAGCAAGTGATGAAAGATGTAAATACCGAAGGGAAATACAAAGACGAAGGCAATATATTGATTACAAGTACAAAAAATATGAAATCAAAATAAGATAAAATGAAATGATAAACGCAAATAAAAATAAAAATAATAAACAACATTATAAAGAAAGCTGGATAATTTTGGATCAGAATATACAGATTAAAAAAAAGAAGAGTTGATTAAAGAACGTGTTATTACAGGAAAAGCAATAACATCAATATTTACAGCAACAGAAAACGGTCATCACACTATCAAAAGAAAATGGGAATCTATCCAGGCTAATGACACGTTGAAAAGCAGAATAGGAAAATAAATGAACATCAGAGAGACGCGGATTTCAGGTACATTGACGATACTAAAAGCCGGTCACTTGAAAGAAATTGGTCGGAGAGGATGATATATAAAAATCAACTTAATAAGGAACTCGCAAGAAATTACGATAAAGAGGGAGGAGTGAAGATGAAAAAAGAGAGAGACAGAGAGAGAGAGAGAGAGAGAGAGAAAAAAAAAGACTCATCTCACATTATTAAAGGAAATATCTTCGAGGGGGAATTTATACAATTGTGGTTACGGTAAATGACCTTGGGTTTCGAGCATTCCCGGAGATGACTTCCGGTCATCAGGTGAAGGAAATACGTGTGTCAACGACTCATGGCGGCCTAACTCTCCGAACCGCCGCCAGAGGGCATCGGAGGGTGAGGTGGAGGGGGAGAGAACAGGTGGGTAGGAGGAGGGGGGAGGAGGGAAGAAGGGGGGGTATATTTCATAATATCATCAATCTTTTTTTTCTTCTTCGTCTTTAACTTTTTTTTTATTTTTTGTTTCTTACTTTGTTAAATAGAGAATACATCTTTTTTTTCTGTATGTGTGCGTGCGTAGGTGCGTAAGGATCTCCAAGTGACGCAACAGCACACAAGGCCAAAGGTACTTCTCGGAAAGCCAAGGTCGCAGAGGTGTGGAATATGCTAATGAGGCTGTGTGTAACTTTAGGCGCCGCGCTGTCTGATCGCTCTGCGCGGACGGGCAGGTAGAAAGAAAGAAAAAGGATAAGAAAAAGAAAGATAAAATATTGGGTATAGATAAGTGAAAGACAGTGAGAGAGATGACGAAAAGGACAGACAGAATAATAGAAAATATACAAAAATGATAATAATAAAAACTAAATAACAAAGATCAGCAAAAATTATAACAACAACAACAAAAATCGAGTTTGTATACGAGGCAAAAACCCATATTAACACCAAGGGTTATCCTATGAAAATAATTTCAATAATACCAATTTCTTTTTATACGTCCCCGATAATGAAATGTTGCACGGTCACCAATTCGATAATATCATATTCTTAGAGCTTATATCTCCCCTCCTTCCCTCCCCCTCCCCCTCCATTCCCCTCCCTCCCTCTCCCCCTCCTCCTCCCTCCTCCCTTACCCCCTCCTACTCCCCTCTCCTCCCTCCCTCCCTTACCCCCTCCCTCCCTCTCCCCCTCCTACTCCCCTCCCTCCCCCTCCCCTCCCTCCCTTACCCCTCCATTCCCCTCCCCCTCCCTCTCCCCCACCATTCCCCTCCCTCCCCCTCCCCCTTCCCGCCTTCGCTCAGCTCTCATGAACTTCCCTCGGTCCGCTCACTAATATAAGCCTGTCATTGCCCTGTCATTATCCGGTTTTTGTTGACATCGAGTTTTTCTGTCGGTTCTTATTTCTTTTTTTCTATTATTATTAATCTCTCTCGTTCTCTCTTTCTTTGTTTTTGTGTTTTTATCTTTCTCTTACTGTCTGGATGTTTGTCTCTGTCTGTATCTATCTGTCTGTCTATCTATCTCTGTGTGCCTGTCTCTCTGTATTTATCTAGATTCCTATCTCACTCACTCTCTCTCTCTCTTACCCTTCCCTCTATTTCTCTCTCTCTCTCTCTCTCTCTCTCTCTCTCTCTCTCTCTCTCTCTCTCTCTCTCTCCCTCTCCCTCTCCCTCTCCCTCTCTCTCTCTCTCTCTCTCTCTCTCTCTCTCTCTCTCTCTCCCTCTCCCTCTCCCTCTCCCTCTCCCTCTCTCTCTCCCTTTCCCTCTTTTTTGTTGCAGGTCGCGGCTTCTTCTTGGCTGAGCCGCCCTCTTCCTCAGGTCATTAACGGCGAAGAAGAATTAATGGCATAATTATGATGGCAAGGAGATAGGTTGAAGGGACGTGAGAGGGAGACTCAAGAATTCCGCTATTAGGGTTTGAGATTTAAGTTTTTTTTATATTTATTGTTTCATTTATCTTTTGTTTGTATTGTTTGTTTGTTTGTTTATAAAATTTATATTTTGTTATTTAATTTTTTTGTATTCATTTATATATATATATATATATATATATATATATATATATATATATATATATATATATATAAATTTTTGGCTTTAATCTATCTGTAAGATCTTTTTAATCTATGTGATTTGAACTTCTTGATCTTTTTATCTCATTTTCTTTTTTTTACCTGTGTCCAAAATTACATTTGCGTGATTTAAGTTTTATATTATCTTTTTTTTCTGTCAGTATTAAAAAAAGGAGAATGGAATTGGGTAACTGGAAAGGCCTTCGAATCCGAGGACACTTTTTGCTTATTGAGTTTGATTTATTGTCGCAGTGTCTTTAATTGTATAAGTGTATATTGCCCGAGCTTTTTTTCTCTCTCTCTGAATGTTTTGACTACGTTGTAATTCGCAGACGAGAGGACACATACACACAGATATATACACTCCACACATACATACATGTG